CACCTTCCTCCTGGGGCCCCTCCACCAGCTGGAGGCTCCTTCGCAGCTGCGCAGAACGAAGCAGGCTGCTCACGACACAGGATCGCAACCAGAGTTTCGGGAGTTTCTCTCACAAAAATAAAGGCTGAAACTAAGCCATTGCATCTGTGGACTTGGACACAAATGTGTTAAAAATAAAATTAAGCTGTCTAAAAGAGCTACTCTGAAAAGGCAATTGCTGCAGAAAAGACACCAGTTAATCCCCATACAGCTCTCCCCTTAAAAGGTCTTCCTGACTAGAGGCTTGCTGCTGGTCACTGCTATCTGAGCACAGACAGCTAATTAACAAGGAGGAACTGCTCTATGTTATTAGTTGCAAGATATTAATTTTACTGTTACCTTGATCTCAGGTCCTTTCACAGTCTTTTGCCAGTTTCTTTCCGTTTGTTGGGCACTGCCATTTTCCCAGACTGCAAGGTTTCTAGACAGGGTAATTTGTTTGTGCAGTGCCTAACACAAAGGCACCATTATCCTTCACCAAACCTCAGATGCTCATGTAATGAAAACCATTACAATGTTGTTTTTAAGGTGGTCAAAAGTTCTCACAGCTTATTATGACAGTACACCTTACTTAAAACTCGCTGACAACTTTAGAGTAATTAAAAGTATTTAGCTTCTGTGGAAAAGAGAATAAAAAAGAAGCTACAATTCTTAAACCTGCCTGTTTTATGACCTGAAAGATCAATGGAGTACAAGGAAGATTATCAACAAGGAAACATTTTTTCTTTTGATTTCTTTCTCCCTTTTCCTCCACACACTATCTTCTGATTCATATTTCTTACTCTTACTTTACTTTTATCTTGTCCCTCTGTGTCCCTGCAAAGTTTTTTTCCTCAGGGAGTCAACACTTAAAGGAGAATTTCTAGTTGAGCATTAGCTAGAAAAAATCTGAAGGGAGAGGAAAAAAAAAGGCCTGGCTCTGAGAGCTCAGTTCTGAACCCATAATATGACTTTTCTAGAAAGAATCTGATACATGAAGCATTTTATGTAAACAAACATCATTCTTTCTGCTACATGTTTACTTGCTGGACTGATACATTTAAAACCACCCAGTGATACTGAGTATTAGAAGGCAAGTTTATGTTCAAACTCTGAAAATTAATTCTGAAAATGTTACAGTTTATACCATCATAAGTATTGATGAAAGCAAAGTTAATATAATACACTAAATAGCTCCTCTAATGAGAGCTTAAGTGATTTTCATACTAGGAAAGAAGTGCTCTAATATAACTCCAGTTCATACTGCACTGCAAAGGGGTATCTCCTTTGAATAAGGCACATGACAGCAATGAAAAGGAAGTTCAAAATCCCTATGGTGAGAATTATTCGATATCCTCAAAACAAGTTTCTGTTTGACTCTTGGTTGAGTGGACATTTGGGGCTTTTTAACATCTTCCAAAGGGCTCTTCCAAATGTACATCTTCCAGCACTTGAAGCATTTCACATGTTTTCTATGTTATTTCAAGCACAATATATTAAAAATTTCTGGAAGGCAGCTTTTCCTTTTAGACACCAAGACCCCAAAAAAGGCATATAGAGTAAACCTGTCTACTTTTAGCACAAATGGACTAAAGATTAATTTGAACTAATTACTGCCTATAATAATTATTTTTAAAAAGCCTTTTAGTATTTTAAAAGGGAAAAATATCGAACATACTTCTGAAATTCCTCAAATTCTGGGATTTTTACATTTAAGACTTAATACTTTGTCTTAAATATAGCTAGTAAAACTATAATACACAATCAAGACCATTAAGCTGTACTATCATTTTAAAAGCATTTGTATTCATTGCTAATTTATTATCTGTTTTGGATACAGATCTGCGTAGCAGAGGCTGGTTACTACTTCCCTAATAGAGCAGCTTCCTATACATCACATGATTTTGTGATCTGATATCTTCCGAGAAATGCTGCTATTATATCTAGAACACCTCAGTACAAATCCCTCAAAAACCCAAAGGCTAAGTCAGGAGAGCCAATGTAAATTCAGGTTCAGAGAAGCACTATTTACCCCAACTTTTAGATTTTTCTTTGTACACCAAACTGCCATTTTAGATAAAAGAAGATGACACAGATTATTAAGGAGGACTTTTAGACATAAAAAGACATCAGGAATATAAAGCTAAACAGTGGTTGGTCTTGTTGATGACTGCGTGGACATCTGTCACAGGTCAAACTACCAGCCAAACCTGTCATGACCAGCAGGGAGCTGTGAAGAGGAGCACGGTCTGGTTTCATTTGGCTGAGCAAACATTTTGGGAATAAACAACACAGGAAGAACAGCATACAACTCAAAGCTGTGTTGAAAAGGAAGGTATCTGGCTGAGAGTCAGGGTTTCTAGCTCTTCGGAATGGACACCTGGATATTTGATGGTTTGGGAGCTGAGAAAAGGTCTGTCTAGAGAGTTCTACTAATGGAATGGAAATTTACAATAATCACTCATTGCTGATGACATCTGCCAGGTCTGAAACACAGAAGGTTTTACAGGCCAGTGTGTGGTGAGGTTATGCCACATGGGTAGAACTACCTTTACACATCAGAGAAATGAAAAAAGGCACTCCTCCTAGACTTTTTTGCATAGTAGTGGTTGTTAAGAAACTGATAAGACCACCACCCTCACATTCATCTAAGACAATGCAGGTATGCTACTGTCTGAAGGATTAATATATTATTAATATATCAGTTTGGTAAAAAGGCAGTCACAAACCAATACTGGTCCTCAAGTTTCAGGGGGACAGAAGCAAGTTCTTTCATCCTGAAACCATACCAATCCGGTCAGCCTAGAATTAAGCCACTGTTCAAAGCGGAAGTTTCCTCCTCAAAGCTCTTCTAGAATCTCTTCCAGATGATCTGGCTCTTAGACAATCAGCGCTACTGACTCTGCCAATATGACAGTCCGTTTTTTCACATAATGCCATGGCCTGGCTCCCACTGGCTGATGCTAAAGGCAATTCTGAAAACTTGAGAGATGGGAAGGGTCGTGTCGTCCTTACCAGGCAAGTCCAACACACACTCAAAAGTGAAGTTAATGTAATCTTTATGCCCGCTGTTGCCTGACTAGGTGTCAGGTCTCTTTGCCTTTGACTCAGTGCCAGTACAGTTAGTGCAAAGGCTACTAAAAGAGAGGAAACCTGAATCTGAAATCTTGCTATCCATACTGGTAGTCATGGGACTGTTTTGGAGAGATTCTCAGCTGAAAAACCAAAGGAATAGCCCCTGGTCACAGCTGCCCTACAACTGATGCCTTCTCTTGTTGCACTTTCAAAAACATCTTTTCAAGAAATAAACATTGTTTTCATGGACTGTTCCAAAAGAAGCAATTTGAACTCTGACCTTCACCTAAAATTGAAGGGAAGGAACAGCAAACAAAACACTTCAGAGACATGTCCCTTCTTGAAGAGGAAGTGCATACACTGTGGCTTGTAACCTAATGGTCTCAGACTACAGCTTTTTAATAGCTTTACAGGTACTCAAAGCGGTGACTCCCCCTATCCACACATTCCATCACCTCAACTTTTTCAGAACTAGGGCTTATTATGTACTGACAGAACATGAATGGGATCCAGTAATTTCTTAAAAGTTAGCCATTACTGATCTGCTTCGCTAATATGGTATGCTGTCATATAATGCCTTACATATATTTATAGAAGTAATTGAGTATATGCTACCCTCTAGTTACTTAGGTGACCAATGCTCAGAAAGGTTCTTTAACAGTATGCTAAATTCTTCGTGTTTGTGTCACAACTACCTTTTGCTATGAGCCATCCATGTATTCAAGCTTTCCCACTTACACAGTTTTTGGCCTCTTCTGTATTATTTGACTGTCAGAAAAACGATAGCCACTGAGCACACACTAGTGACCACACTAAATCAGGAATCAATTGTTCAGCTCTAAGTGTAATGTGACATCCTCTTTCTAAAACAGCATGAATATTTTCTTTCATGCACACTTCTAGGCTCTTTTTTTGGTCCACAGCATATTTCAAGAAAAACCTGCTTGAGGAAACAAACTAAAACCAACAACAGAGAAACTGCCACAGAAACGTATTGGAAGACATTAAAAATTAAATAGCTTTGTAAAGAGCTCTCAGACTTAATAGTAAAACCTATTAACATTGTCTATACTGATTTAATTTGTAACAATTCCACTTCTAACCAACAACCAAGCAAAGTTGTCTGGAGTTCAAAGTGAAAATGGTGGGTTTTTTCCCCACGAATAATACCCGTACACTTCTCCCGTCTCAAACACTTGGCAGGGGGATGGGGAGAAGACGACCACCAGTATTTGAAGTGGTGGTCATAAGATACAGACGAATTCATACTGCAGGAGAAGCATGCTCCAAAACGAAAGAGTCCTCATACAGAACTCTTTTGGCAGATACTGTCCTGGCAACTGAATCAACAGTCTCTAAGCACAAGAGCCTTGACCATTATTCTTACACTGTTCATACCACAGTCTCTCAGATAAACAGGTGCATCTTAAGATGCTCAATGGCAAATGGGCAACTTCAGTGAGTCTCCAATGCTACTCAAAAAATCAACACAATAAGCTTAACTGGAGCATGCTTATGGGAAGATATTCAATCTTCACCTCACATTCCCCAAATCATTCTCTACATTTCCTCACTAGCTTTATTTTCCATACAGGTTTAAAGGCATAATGCAGCAGTTCTTGAGTGAATGCAGAATTGTATGAGAATGGAATTTACTTTAAGAGTGTATTATGGAACATATACGAACATCTTTACTCAAATGAGTTGAAGTTCTAAGTTTCATATATGTAATCCCACTAAGTCAATGGAGTTACACATATGAAACTGAAAGGTAAGCAAGTACTCACTAAAGACGTTTACACCCTTACACTTTTAAGTCTTTTGTCAAGAATAAGAGCTCACATATTGCAACAGATTTTTGTTTCTGAAAATTCAGTGATGAACAAATATATTTTGCAATAACTTACCTTGAAGTTGCAATTTCCACTTTGGTTCTTGCCATGGCAGCTGCTCGCTGTGCACCCTCTATTGCTCTATCCACCTTTTCTCTAGTTTTTGTGTTTCGTATTGGTATAAGTTGCTTTCTTATTCCACGGATCAAAACGTTATTTTTATATTTTCCCTCTTCTTTGGTGCCATCTGGAAACATGGTACATCCATATCCATGCCTCCTGTTATTTAGCCATTCTCCTTCATATTTCATACCGTTTGAACGCTCACTAATACCAAAACCACTGCGCTTGTCATTCTTCCATTCACCCATGTAGGTTTCTGTGGTGGTGGCATCAACATGGTCTTCCATAGGGCAATAATCACAGTCACCGTCTCCAAAACTAATTGTAGAGTTGGCATCGCTAGAACTAATTCTGCTCATTGCAGCATCACTCCTGACAGAGCTCCGTTTGCTAGATATCGATGACCTAGATTCAGATTTTCTAAGTTTTATACTACCAAGAAGGGATCCTCTTCTGAATAAGCCTCCTTTTTTCTTAATGCCCACGGCTTCTGGATCACTGTGAAAATTGAGCACAAAACCTCCTCTTGTTCCAGCCGGACTGTCTGAAGTGACGTCATGCAGAACAGTGCCATTGCTCTGCTCACTTCGAAGTGAAGCTAGAGACGTTCGGAGGGGTGAACGGATCACAGTTGCCATGCCATAGGGTACACTCTGACGTACACCATATCCATGTCGCATCCCTCCTGTCCATTGCCCCTGGTATGTACCTTTTAAAGTAATAGGAGAAATTAAATTTAGGAAGCTGTAGAAGACTTAGCACTCTACATCCAGTATGCTACTGGCGATACTATGTTGTCAGCTCTGTTTTTGTTAAGAAGAAATGCAGAAAAATCACAGCACATGACACGGAAGATAAACTACTTTTGTTACTTGTTTTTCTTATAAATAATTCTTCCGCTTAACAAATCCTTCACTTTTGCAGCTGAAGTAATATATTCTGGCAACTAAGACACAGTAGCTATAATCATAAGTATTTTTTGAATGGATCTGTCCAAGGAAAAAATTTCAAGACAATTTCTAAAGCAGGACTCCCTCAAGATTTTTTTAAGGTGGTCAGATGGGGACGTGGTCACCAGAAGCAGAGCCACATTATATGCGGTCAGCTGGGGAGGGAGACAGGGATGGAGGGAAGGGAGGGAACAGGACACTCATGGCCCTTGCCTCCACCTGCTCACAGAAAGAGCAAGCAGGAGTAGTAAATGTCCTGTCATCTTGGGTTTAAGGTGACTACAGACCTCTCCTTCTCAGGACGTATGTGACAATCCACTGAATTGTCTTGTCTTCAGATGGGCCTTTGGATCCACTATTATAAACCTCTATTGTAAAATTAAATATTTTAAAGTTTTTGCACATACTTGAATGGAAGAACAAAAACCTCAGTATATCTTACTCTTTATGAACTCTTGATATCAACACTTTTTGGTATCCCCAGTATCGTAAACATGGCACTGCATTCTGCATTATGTTGTGACAAAAAGTTCAGAAACATGACTCCTTTAGCACTTTTTTTGCCTTTCATTTGTTCTGCAGTACGTAAGAAAGACAAGGCAGTAATAAACAGAATATTGCACACCATTCTATCATAAACACGTTTCGTTGTTGCAATCATAACTATTTTTGTCATTTTTTTTAAACAGCAATATAAGGAAAAGCAACACGGTATTTGATATGAGAAGTCATGGATATCCATGCAAAGCTGCATCTGAGCCAAAAATCAGCATTATCAGATTACTGCTGCAGACAATTTTTTTTCTTGTATTCTTGAAAGGCATTTTCATTTTGACAAGATACATACTCCAGTGTCTGGTCTCTGACAGCCATTTGTACCCAATTTTCCAAAGGAAGGTGCCAGGAACCCCACAACTGGCATATACAAGATAATTTGCTTTCTAAGATTATTTCACTCTAATTCTCATTAAACTGCTTTAAGCTCCTCAAAATGAAGTCTCTCACCCACCTAGTGCTAGTTTTTTTTAAAAAAAAAAGCTATTTTGAGTCTGAATATTCTTACAGAGGGATGAATAAGCAATCTTTAAAATATCTTTCTTTGATTTTGATCTGCTTCAATTAAAGCACCTATCAAAAACTATTCTTCAGAGAACTAAGTATCAAATGTCAAATTCACTGATTGACTAATTTTTTTGTGAAAATACTTGTGAAATACCTGTAGTTTCAGATGGAATCTCAAAGTTTCATTTGCTTTGAGATTCAATCTCCTTTGTATAAGCATACTATTTTGGTCGTGTACATGTCAATTATCTATCAATTACTGCTTTAGTGTATTACCTTTTCTGCTAAGTAATATTTCAATGTTAATATGCAATTAAATTTGCCAAGTCTGCTTTCTTTATTATATAATACTAGATAGGTTCCACAGCATAACTATTTTGTGTTGGTAGAAAATTCTACCAAGTGGAAGGTTTTTGTTTTAACAGATGGCTGCTGACACAAACAAACAACTTTCTTATTTTCTTTCTCATTCTCTGTATCCTGGATACCTACTGCTGCACTTGTTGTAAGGGTGCTGAATCTAGAAACATGATTATTTTAAAAAACTCAGCATATGGAGAAGAACAAATAGAAACGGAGCACAAAGCACTGGCATGACGTATTCTGTAAATACTGCCACAAATACAGCCACATTGTAAGTTTTTTTCTTTATTAAACAGATATTTCCCAGAAATATATTAATATTTTATGAGCATAAATGACTACATTTTGTCCATAATTATATCTGGGATCCCCCTAGTATTGTAATGATATGCTGGAGCTAAGAATCTGGCTATGTATACTTACTGCTACATAGAACAATCTGTCTAACATTCTGCATCAGTTAAATTCATTTAAAAATAATAAATCTAATTCTAATTTTGATTATACCACAATATTACATTAGAGCAGCAACTCATAATTATGGCTTTCCATGTTGCTATTTGAGTGTCAGACTTGAAGCAGAATCAACTTATTTCAGGATGGAATTTTATAAAAGTACAAAAGGTCAGCTTTTTTTCTTACTAATATTTTGTTTTAATTAATAAACATGGAAAGCTCAAAAATATTTTGGACTTGTATTTTTCAGTACTCTGTAGAAAGAAATGGAAGTAGTCACTGTTGCCCATATGGACTTTAAAACAAGGACAATTAATGTGCTGCTATTTACTTGTCCGATTTTTCTTTCTACTGGGGAAGGAAAATCAATTCCAGCTTCTTCTAAAGAGAATATAGTCAATGAGGAAATGGAAGATTCATACTGAATTGGTCCTTAGAAAGTAACAAAGATACTTAGTTGGAATTTTGTGCAGTCTTGCAGGTAACAACTATCTCTTCTATCATTACAAATCCATTAAGGGAAAGGCTTCTGATACTAATGATAGAAAGCTGACTCATTTTCCTTGATTTTTCAACTTTCATTTTAAAGGAAAAATATTTTAACAGCATATGGAGGGCAGTGTCCAGAATGCAGATACAAGAGACTTGTAATTTGACTGACAATATCAGACTCTAACTGTATCTTCTTCAACAAAAGAAATTTTAGAAAACTTTAAATGAGCAACATAAGGTATGTTAATATTGCAATATAATTAAATACTACAGCATATGACATAAGACAGGATAAAAAAGCGTTTCCCATATATGAAGATACAAACGAATGCAGTTTTTACCTATCTCTACATATAGATATAAATATGAATGATCTATCAACAAGCACACCTTATCCTGCTTCACCTTATACTACAGTTGACTGTTCAAAGAAGTTCTTGTAGGGGACAACTGTTAATATTTTAATTAACACTGTAATTATCAAGCTAATTTAAAACTGTATTTGACCATAAAACAGTAACATTGTTCAGCATTGACTTTCCAAAAGCTAGGCTTGGTATCCTTTGTAACTAAAGAAACATTCAGCCATGACTTCTACTGACCATCCATCTGGTGTTTAATTGGTTCCCTTGAAAAGGTCTTCATATTTTGAGCTGAGAACTATTAGAAAGTGTATTTTTTCCTTTTGTTTTTGTTGGCATGTTGTGATAAGGTATAATTTCGTAACCTGTCTCCTTAGAGTTACATTGTGCCATCCCTCCCAAAAAAACCTTAGTATATCTTACAGCTGTAAATGTCATTGCCTGCTTGCAGCTAAAATTTGAAACTATGCTGTGTGAAAAAACTGAGAGGCCAAGGACCTGTTTAACCACTCCACTTGCTCCTATCCTTTACTTACCTCTTCTGTGGTTTAACAAATTAATTGTTACATCAAGATCTTTGCATGCTTTTCAGACTCAAATGTTAGATAAGCATACATCTAGAAAGAAGACTACTTAGAAATCAACAAACACATGTACTAGCGATGACCTTTGCTTAGGATGCATTTGCCACTGACCTCTGTGGAACAACAATGCACAACCTTACAGCAAGATGCCTGTTATTGCTATTGTTCGCAGGACCATAAACTGCTAACTAATTTACACATACTGAAGTTTCAAATTAGGCCTTGGCCCCTCCATAAAAAAATGCTCTGGTAGGCTTGCAGATTCGCACAGATTCAATAAAATCTAGGGAATTTAAAGGAGGTACAGAAGTCCAGATCATTGTAGGAAACAACCCAACGGGCCACTTGAAGGCCCAGCATAAGCACATGCAAAGAATGGGGGATCATCGTTTATAAATCACAGTGTTTTCCTCAGAGATTAGACTGAGCGACAATTTTAAGCATTTAAATACCGCATGACATATATTACTTATGTCGTGCAAAGTGTCGTGTGCAGAAACACTGTCAATGCTTATGTTCCTTTTCCCTCCCTCAACTACATCTCCTAATACCACCAATGCATTTTAAAACACCATATTGGGGAAAGAAGAAGAAAAAAAAATATAGCAGCAGAGAGGCCTGGATTTTAGTGAGTTTGAAAACAAATTAGCAACTGGCTTAGTCTAAACAGTTATTTCCCTATGCTGGTATTCTCAGGTCATAATAAATGAAGAGCTTCCCTGCAAATATTTCACATTATGTTAAAGACAGATATGCAAATCTGGTTTCCTTGTAAAAACATCAGACCTGGTGTACAAATATGGCTATTGTTCCCAGAGCATGAAAACAAAAACACATCTCCAAACGTCTATGACGTACTGCTTTGCTTCATTCATGAGTACTTTCGTTAAAATCAATGGGACTTCACACCCTCTGTTCATATGAACTGCCACATGTAAAAGACTGGAGCCATGGTAACAGATTTCAGTTTATAGGACTAAAAATCTCACAGTGTAAACTGCACACTTCATATGCTGTTTTGGACAAAGGATTTCCAGGGGGGTCTAATTCTAAAAATTTAGAGAATTTACCTCCAATTATCTATATTGAGATTTTAAAGATTCCACAAGAAGTCTAAAGAAAAAGATAAAAGGAACTTTAGTTTGAGAAAAATCACCCCTAGAAAATTTACTGGAATGGCAATTTACTTTGGGGGGTGGTGGGGGGGAGAAGATGGCCACTGCAAATTCAGCTATTCTTCAGCTTCTGATTTACTAGCCAAAACAAATATAATTGCGTGGTGAAAGTGAAACTAAAATTCTGATCTCTTTCATGTTTTGTTTTTTTGTTCCTTAAATCCTCAAAAACCTATTTCGGCTGACTTTGGGCATCAGAACTTTCCACACCAGGAAACAATTTTCAGACAGCTACAAATATGTATAAACAAGGGGATTAAA